TCTTCGGGGGTTTTTCAGTTCTGCTTCTCAATTCCCTACCATGAATAAAACTACTTAATGAGATTTTAAGTAATGAAGGCAAGCATAATCCCCAACAGTTAGGGAGCTGAGGCATGAAGACTGCAGGTTCAAGCCTGCCTGGGCTACATGGTAAAGTGTGGGGGGTGGAGGGTGAGATAGGGTAGGGAAACAAGAAGGAAATGGAAGCTCATGCTTATAGAAACTACTGCTCCCGGAAGATGGATTGAGCCTAGAAGCTCTAGGCCAGAATGGACAACATACTAAATCTCAAAACAACAAAGTTTAGGGATGGGTACTAGCTTGGTTGATAGAGTACTTATCTAACATTCATATTAAGTAGGGGAAGATGGTTCATGTCTGTAAGCCCAGCATTCAGGAGGCAAGTCAGAAGACCAAAAGTTTAAGAGATCATTCTTGGCTACACAACATTTAATCAATAAGTATATTTCTAAAATAAAATTTTTTTTATTAAAACCTATAAATGTGCAAATGCAAAAACTGAAATGAGGGGGCAGCTAGAGTAAGTGCAAGCATGTAGAAGTAGCAGTTACACAGGACAATTATACCATGAACTTTCTCTTTTTGTGCCCCAGATTGCAAGCTTGTACACCTGCCATCTTGTTTGCTGGCTGCTGGAACAACAATGAAGCTCTGAATGTTCAAGCTTTTACCTCCAAACCGGTCTACCACCTAGGAAACGGCATTCTTGGGAAATTCTGTCTCTTTGTAAAGTGAGAGTACTAGGACAGCCTCGAGGCAACCTCTTCCTAATTTCTCACTTTTCTTTCACAAAGCTTAAGTGGGCTTTATTTAGGTTATTAAGAAATAAACAAGTCTGAGGGAAGCTTGAGACACCTATTAAACTACCAAATGCTGAGCCAATGTGATGGCTCAGCAGGTAAAGGTGACTGCCACCAAGGTAGCCAACTAGTTCAATCTCCAGAACTACTGTGGAAAACTTTTTTAAGGTGTGTTACTTTTGTTTGTGCTCTGGAACATTTGTTTAACAATTTAAAGATATTTTACTTTTGTTTATGCTACATTTAACTCTGTGAAGCTGTCTGAAACACCTTATGGTCTAATAAAGAGCTGAATGGCCAACAGCGAGGCAGGACAAAGGATAGCTGGGGCTGGCAGGCAAAGAGAATAAATAGAAATCTGTGAAAGAGCTAGATAGAACAATGAGAGGGGGACATCAAGGGCCAGCCTTCCAGCAACAAAGCAAGCCATAAAGAAAGAAGTAAAGAAAGGTATACAGAAATAGAGAAAGACAAAAGCCCAGAGGCAAAAGGTAGATGGGATAATTTAAGAAAGCTGTAAAGAAACAAGCCAAGCTAAAAATGGGCATTCATAAGAAAGATTAAGACCTCATGTGTGATTTATTTGGGTGCTAGGTGGCGGCCCCCCAAAGAGTCAAAAAATAAAAGAAAATACCAACAACACAGAACCCACACAGAGAAAGGAAAGAACATCCTACAAACTGCCCACACACATTAAACGTAAGATTAAATAATGAAATAGAAGACATTTTTAAGGTGGTTCAGATAATCTCTTATCAAAACTTAGTAACCAGTTGAACATGGTAGCACACTGTATTCCCAGCACTAGAGGCAAGGCAGGTAAATCTCTTGAGTTCAAGGGTATCCCCGTCTACAAAGTGAGTTCCAGGATAGCCAGGTCCATCCACACAGAGAAACCCTGTCTTGAAAAACCAAGAAAAAAAAGCAAAACCTAGCAACCAATTCAGTTCCTTTGCTACAATGAGTCTCACTCAGTACCAGCACTTCTCATCCTGCCCCCTACCCTAAACTTCACTCCTTCAAGCTGAGCTTCTCTTCCCAGCCTGATCCCTTCATAAACTCAGCCATTTTGGCTACGCTAGTCTCCTGGCCACCTAACCTGGGCAACATCTCTTCTTCTCCCTCCCCTAGAGGTCCAGATTAGTTTGCCAGCTATGCTCAGCCTGGACTCTTCCCTCTGCCTGCTTTCTCACATGTATCTACAATAAAAATCCTCTCCAATGCTTTACACTTATGATTAAGGAAAACAACGACTCGAGGTGATGCCCAAGTCCTTACTGCTAATGTGAGATGGAATTTTTGAGTGGGTAAAGGTTGCCCCCTAAGACAACCCATCTACTTTGAGGGATGCCTGGGAGCGGTGTCTGCCTGGAAAAAAAAAAAATCCTCTTCAGACTTTAGAGTAGTCATGTCGTTGTTTTATTTCATCTTTTTTTTTTTTTCATCAACTAGCACAATTAGTCAGCAGTCCAGGAAAATAGAGAAACATTTTTCATATTTGTGGGTTTGCTTATTTATTGAGCTGAAAAATGAAATGTATAGTTTGAATTCACTTCTTCTCAAAGATGAGCTAAATGTGAAAGTTTTGTGTTTGATTTTTATCCCAACTTAGTTACTTGTAATTTCAAATATATATTTTGAGCAAAAGAAATCCTAACAAACCCCAAGTATTAAGGAAAAAAAAAAAAAGCTAAGCATGCTGAAGTGTTCAAGAGGCACTTGAGAGGCAGAGGCAGGCAGATCTCTGTGAGTTCAAGGCCAGCCTGGTCTCCATAGTTGGTTCCAGGCCAGGGCTACTTTACCTCAAAAAAAGAAAGAAAAAGAAAAAGGAAAAAAAGAAACAATTACTTCTCTTTCCACATGTACACTAGGAAACTGTTATTATTACAATGAAGCTGAATTAGAACAGCCTTAAAGTATAATCCTATGCTTGAAGCACTGAGTGTTTTTCAAACTGTGTTCTACAAAGAAACTGTTTGAATATCACAATTTATAAATAGATTAATCTGCTCACTCTGTGGTTATCATATGCCTCATGCCAGATATGGTACAGAACATCAGAGCTACTACTGTTCTGGAATAATGTTTTTGTACACTGTGAAGATGTGTCTTTACCAAGTGCCTTCCGATTGATTTAATAAAGAGCCAGTAGCTCTTTATTAAGGTTAGATAAGGTTAGATGGGACTTCTGGGCAAAGAGAAAAGAAGTGATTAATCTAGGTACATGAGATGCCAGAGAACAAGAGGAAACAGGAGGTACAAGATGGAAGAGATGTAAAAAGCAATGAGGCAAAACATAGACTAATATAAGTGAGTTAATTTAAGTGATAAGAGCTAGTGGGATAAGCCTAAGCTCTAAGCTGAGCTTTCACAATTAATAATAAGTCTCCGTGTCATTTTTTTGTGTGTGAGCTGGCAGCCCCACCCTCCCAAAAAATAATGTGTTTACATATGGCATTCAACATGGGGGCTCGAATATCCAAACACAGGGCTTAAGAAATCCAAGAAAAGGTCTAAATAAGGAGCCAGTTGTGGCTTTCTAGTCCTATAGTTTCTCAGGCGGGCTGGCGCTTGCTATAAAGAGGAGCAGCCACCAGCACCATGTTCTAAGCTGAGCCTGGGCAGTTGACACAGCAGTCTAAGATTTGTCTCACACTATCAGAGAATGTTTCAGGTGCTCAGTAAAGACATTCAGATTGGGGGGGAGGAAAAAAAAAACCCTCTAAACAGGTTATAGTGTGTTTTAAAATGTGTATAGGCTTAAAAAAGAAAGAAAATGGGTATAGTCACAGAAAAAAAGTTTATAAATAAAGCCTTTAAAGAGAATAAAATAAAAAGCATAAGTCATATAAATTCAAAAAATCTGGATCCTGTATGGTGTCTTGCTGGCTTTGAATTTTTTAATTGCTGATGAGTATACGACAACTGCAGAGAATCATGGGATTGTACAAGTGACTGCTGAATTAAACCAGCCTAGATACTTTAGGAATGCCTTAACTTTAAAATGGAAGTCGGAAAATATATTGCTTTAGGGAAGAGGTTATGCTTTTGTTTCTACAGAAAATGAAAGGTTGTGGATTCATTCAAGGTTGACAGAGATCAGGTTTGATCAGGGGAGACCCCCTAAAAATCCTGGCTACAGGCATAGAAAAAATAAACTTAGAAAAACTACAAGACAGGCAACATGTATTTTACTTGCTCAAACATAAAACAAAAAAATCATCTTTAGCTGCTTTGTGTATAGTGCACAGTCCATCCTTATGTTAATGTAGATACATATTTTACCTTTGAAAGTTTATGTTTTCACAGCAAGGGAATCAGACACCAAAAACAAAACAAAACAAAAAACCAAGTGGCCCAGATGATCCAGCCTCTCACGAGTACCTCTGTTGCAGTTTCCCCAGAGTTTTGCCTCCAGAACAGCTTCAAGGCTGCTGGCTGAGATGGTCCAGCCTCACAAACAATTGTAGCCAGGATTTGACCATTATCCTAATACCAGAGGATGGAGAGGAAACAGGAGGTGCAAGATGGATGAAAGGGGAAAAAGCAACGAGGCAAAACACAGATTAATATTAATGGCTTAATTATGTTATAAGAGCTAACGTACAGGCTAAGCTATAGGCTGAGCTTTCATAATTAATAAGTCTTTGTTTCAGTTTTTGATGACCTGGTCCCACCCCCCCCCCAGTCTACTGAAAAAAATGAACAAAAGGAAACAACTCTTTCTAGAGTTCCTAATGAAAAAAACTGCAAAAAAACAGTCTTCCAGAACATACAGAAGTCAACTGAAAGAGTGAGACTATTCAGAAGCTTTCAAGGGCAGCCAGTTATTTCTTCCTTGGCATTCACATGTCCAAATGCTCACAAGCAGGGCAACCTGACAGCCAGAAGGAAAACCACCTTCAGATGTGCCTTTTGGGGAAGGATGTTCACATAAGGTAGCTATGAGCCCTTGTGACCTCTTAAGCTCTAGATAAGACCTGATGCTCCTCCCAGCAACCTGCTCTGTTCCATATACACCAAACTGTAAAATAAAGTTGTTTTGTTCTCTTTTCCACATTAAAAGAAGCCAGAGTCTGTGTATCTCTGCATGAATTTCTCTTCTCTTCTATAAACTCCAAGTTTTAGCTTTTACCACACTAACCACAGCAAGAGAGAGAAAAGACAAGCATTCTAAGATAAATGCAAGAAGGGAAGATACAATGACAGCAGCAAGAGACTGGAACTGTCAAACTGTGATCATACAGCAAACTGTGCAATGCTCTGGATTCTACTTCGACATCAAAAGCAATTAAATGACCAAACAATAACAAGCAAAATATAGAATCAAATTTGATGGAACAAGTTTGTAGCTACAGGTCTGAGGACGGGGGTGAGGTGGGGTGGGGGTGGTGTTTGCCTAGTCTAAAAAATACAATAAGATGTCTAAATACTACTATTATTGCAAATAAGGATAGTAATACATTAGGGCTGGTGTAGTCCAATGGCTATTGAAGCCCTGGGTTAGAGCCCAACCACACATAAAATATTAAAATAATAATTACTACAGTTGTTTGTTGAGCACTCAATGCCAGGCACTTTTGGTAAATTCCTCACCCGTATTTCTACTCATCAGAGCAGCCTTGTGTATAGCAGTTACCATAGTAAACTATCCATGGCATATATAATCCTCCAAGCATCATTTTTCCCTCGCAGCAGCCCATGAACTAGAGACTATCGGCCCCATTTTACAGATTAGAAACTGAAGAAAAAAAAAGTTTAAGGACAGTCTAGGATACAAAGTTGAGATCCAGTCTCCAAAAATAAATAAAAGCTAAGGTTGATGAAGGTAGCAGAAGTTCAGAAAATTACCATCACGGAGCATAGGCCTAGGGTGCTACTGATACTGGGGAAAGTCGTGTTGTTTTGCTATGGCAGTACTGGGGATCAACCCTAATACATACTAGGCAGGAACTCACTCACTGAATCACCTACATCACCAGCCCAGAGTTCCTGCTTTATAATTACTATCCACAACTATTTTAAAGCCACCATATATATTTAATCAAGAAACAGAGACTGAATTAAGTAATTTGCAGAGGAGCACAAATGTAATTAAATAGAAGAAAATGGAGGGCTAGAGAGCTAGCTCAGCAGTTAAGAGCACTTGCTCTTGCAGAGGACCCAGATTCCATTACTAGCACCCACATGGCAGCTTTCAACCATCTGTAACTCCATTTCCAGAACACGTGCTTATAGGGACATTTCTGCAGTTAAAAAGTGCAATTGCCAGCTGGGCAGTGTTGGCTCATACCTTTAATCCCAGCACTCGGGAGGCTGGGGCAGTGAGTTCAAGGCCAGTATGGCCTATAAAGCAAGTTCCAGAATGGGCTCCAAAGCTACAGAGTAACCCTGTCTGGGGATGGGGGGGAAGTAATACCAAGGTCAGGCAGGATGGCATATACCTTTAATTCCAGGACTAAGTAGGCAAAGGCAGTTGGATCTATGAGTTCCAGACTAGGTAAGTCTATATAGCAAATACTAGGCTGTCTCAAAAAACACAAAACAGGTACTAGCGTATACAAAGAATGAGGATGGGAGGTAAACTCAGTGGTACAGTATGAGGTCCTTTATCCAATCCCCAGGAGGACCCCCACCTACCCACTACCAGTAGGCACCTAGTTCTTGGAATTAGGATACAATCACCAGTTAAGAGGGACTTTAAAAAAGAAAACAATACTAAAAAGTTTGTTCTTCAACTCTCAAATTTCATTGTGAAACAGTATTTTCACACCTTTGTTAATCTCCAATGAAGTGTTTTTGTTTCCAACCTAGGATACATATAAAATGGTAGTACATACCTATCCTCTCAGCACTGAGGCTACCAAACACACAGGGAGATCCAACCTCAAATTTAAAACAACAAGAACTGAAATGTAAATGTAACTGACTCTCAATATTCTAAACAGAAAGGAACAAATCTGAAAGATTCCTGAGACTGGCTAGAATTCAAAAAGAAAGTAAGGGAGAAGAGAGAAACAATTTTATCCCAAACGCCTTAAGTTCTGTAGTATTACTACATCACTTTCAAACTTCGCCTTGAGTGGTTCTTACATTTATGTGTTAGCTTCCCTAAAACCTTTCACAAAACCATTCTCAACCCTACTCCCAAAACATAAACATGAACACCCTTAGGTGGTAAGAATCTACATAATCCTACAGCCTTTCACAAGCTCAGCTCATCTAAACCAAGTTGCTCCTTCTTTTACTTACCCCACCAAAACCCGATTTTTTTCTCTAGACTGCCTACTCATGCTGAGTCCACCTGCAGTACTTTTGCTAAGGAAGCCACTGGCCAGAAATCCAGGAGACATATGCCACTAAGTCTGGCT